GCCCAAAACTTTATACCTAAATAATTAATTTTAATAAATAATATATAATTTATATATAATTATTCAAAAAGTTGATATAAGGTTAACTTTTGTGTTGTTTAAAATTTATTGTGAAATTTTCATATTATATTTTACATAACCTAAAATATTAAATACAATATTCAGTATAGTTTGCACAAGCATGTATGGTATTTCCCCAATCTTTGAAGTTTATAATAATAAATTTATTATATAAATTATGTAATTAATTATTTTAGCTCAAAGCTAACTCATGCACAACGTTTAATCTTTAATTAATTATTTTAAAATCATATTCTGCATAATCTATAATATCAAATTTATTAATTTGTAGAGTTCACTTGAGCATATTCATTATTGCCTGAAGCTTTAAAGTCTAGATCAGCTGATTTTATATAATATGATAATTCAGTTATATATGATTAATAGGGTGTTTAGGATTTGTTAATCGTGATTTTCAATGATTTTAACCTTTTTTTTGTGATTTTAACGTGATTACAATTTTTAGTAATCTTTTGCAATTTTCACGTCATTTAAATTTGATTGGATAATCTAAATTTTTTTCATTAAATCAATTTCTAACTTTTGCTCAAAAAAAATGGTCGCTCCTCACATACGCTTGACACAAAGTATAGAATATCGAAAGAATTATATTTTACAATGTAGTTTATTATGGTATTGATTTTGCAATATAGAAGTTGATCATAAAAGAAAAGACTTTGTAGATAAACATTTAATTACAATAAAACATCTAATAACAAAAATCATAGAAATGATTCTCCTTTGTTAATTCAAAGAACTTTGTCATCATTTGAAAATACATTAAATAAAAAGAAAAATTAAATATAGAAGTTGTTGAAGCCTTTTCTCTTGCAGATATTCTCTTAGAGAAAATTGAAAAATTAAAGCCTTTTTTGTTAAAACATTATAAAAATAGTATGAAATTATATTTATATTTTAATTTTATAATATTTTTATTATTGATAATAATTTATTTATAGGAAGTTTAATTACTGGTGCAAATCAACTTCGTGAAAAGTTTCTTCTCTTATCATATGATTTAAAAATTCAAAGATTAAAAATAAAATTATTGACAAACTTATTTGTTTAACAATTGATGAAATAACAGACCATTATGATCGATATGTTGTTAATATTTTGTTTAGTATCGGTAATCAAATCAAATTAACTAGAACTGAATTTTTAGATAATGTAGATGTTTCTTCTATTTCTCAATTTGTAATGAATACACTTCATTTTTTATAAAATTCCCTATCAAAATATTATTCTTTTTATAACAGATAATGCCTCTTATATGAAATTGGAATATTCTCATTTAACTCTTTTTTTACCAAATATGAAACAAAATTGTTGTTTAGCATATATTCTTAATTTGATTAGAGAGACATCAATTGATTTTAACCAGTTTGAATTAGTTGATAAATTGGTTGCAATTTTAAAGCAATATTTATTTATAATTCACAAAGAAAAATCTATTGAAAAAAACATTTATTACAAAATAATATTGAATCTCCTACTTTAGCACTATTACCTGTAAAAACAAGATGGAATTCATGGTTTTCTTTTTTGTATTGGATTAAACCTTTATATCCTCATATAATTACATTTATTAATGCAGAATATAATATCAATCATGATTCAAAAGCTATCTGATACCTTTATAACTTTAGTCAAAACCAAAATTATGTTTTATATGTTAAAATTTTTATATGTTTTATTACATATAATTGTAATAGGTAAGAAAAATTTTAATAATTTTAATTAAATTAATAATTTTATTAATTATTTAAAAATTTTTAATTAGGTTAGTTAATGATTTAGAATTCTTTAAAATCTGAAATAAAGCAGTAGTTCTATTTGTTTATTCAAGAATAGTTTGTCTTCAAGCTTTTATTTTATTAGGATAAAGAACTCCTTCAATATCAGATGAAATAAAACAAATTTTTATTGAAAGAAATTGTGACAGGGAAGCATTTATTACATTATTTTCTCAGGCTTTTGGGTTGGCTTATGAAAAATGTGAAAAATATTTCTCTCACCATTCAGCTTTATCATTATTTAAAGCAATACAATGTTTTGATCCAAGATTTATTCAATCTAATATAGCAAATGTTAATATGACAGATTATAGCATTATTAAAGAGTTTCATTCTCCTACTGATAATTTGATTCAAAAATGGGCCATTTATTATGATTTTAATGAATTAAATGAGGAATTTGTAGACTTAAATATATATTGGCATAGTAAAAGATATTTATTACCAGAACTTAGTGCATTAGCATAAATATATATATGGTTACCAGTGTTTGGTGTTAATGTTGAACGTAGCTTTTCTAGCTATAAAACAATTTTGTCAGATAGAAGGATGACACTTAAAAAGAAAGCATTCAAATGCTTAATTTTCTTTACATTAATCTTAATGAAAATTAATAAATAAAATAAATTTTTTGGATGGTTAATTGTTATATTTTATTTTTTACATTTATTTTGCTATAATAAATTTGGTCAATTTACTAAAAATTATAAAATTTCGACTAGAATTATAGTCACGAGTTTTCGCGATAAAAATCGTAAAATCACGTGTGATTTTTAGACTGTCATCCTGGACACCCTAATGATCGGTAAAATTATCGACCTGTGATATAAGCATGTCTGCTATGCTTTTGTTAAGTGGATTGTTATTTTCCTTCTAGCTCTAAATGTATTAACCAATTCTAAAATAGCAATTGCAATCACAAATGGAAATTCAAATGGTCCCGGTCTACGAGTAAGTGTTTTTTCATTTAATAGAAGGAAGGTCAAACCATTTATCTCTTGTTCTTGAATTTTCCTGATGTACTTTTCATCAAGATTAAGTGCAGATTTTAAAAACTTAGCAACCTGTTGCTTATTCCACTTTTTAATGTCCTCCTCAAACTTGTCTTCGACATCGACTTAACCTGCTTACTTAATGAACAGATGACAAATTTGCTATTATATCTTAATGTAAGAATATCTGAACTCAAACAGTACTTACTGCACACAACTCTGAACTTTTCCAACCAAAAGCGTCTTTTAGTTTGCCCAAAATGTTACCCAAATACGTCAATTCTATTACATGTGATACAGGCATTCTAGCGTTCATATGAGCGAGGGCAGAAAATACTATGTAAGCCCGAGACTCTTGCTGAATTAGATCTTGAAAAGATGGTTTGTCCAATGCGATCCATGTATGAATATCATTGGCATGAAAATGGTTCATGGCATACGTTGTCTGCATATGCCAGATTTCCATAAGCTAATACAGCTCGTTCATTCGGAAGTCTTTTACACCATCTAAATGATCATCAAGTGAGATCAGCTCAATCGCCCCCACAGAGGCTTTAATAGTACATAACTGCCAGCCTAAATCCTTTGTTGCTTGTCCCTAAATTTCTTTTTTCATATGTATCATAAGTGCAATAATGAAATGCAACCCTGCTTGAATACCAGATAGAAATCGGAGTATCATTTTATGGGTGTAAATCAAAGCCAATCCCTCGGAAAGAGTTGTTCCTTCAGGAAGAAAGTAATAGGAGTATTGTTCTTTACTGAGTTTTTTATTAGGAAGGTTATAAGGTGTTTCTAAAAGAACAAAGCAGGAGACTCCCTTTGCATGTTTATCATTAACTTTATAGTGTTTCATATACCTGTCATCTGTTTTGTCGAGCTTATAATCTCCACTATAAAGTTCTTAAAGCAAAGCATCAGAACGGTGAGTATCCCAAGGAACTTGTGTAAAAGTCGTACCTCTTACCAGTTCTTCCACTTCCATTGCAACAAGTAAAAAAGTTCTAACATAATTTACATAATTCCAGTTTATATATATGTTGATTGGCACTGCGTCACAAAATTCTAGTTTCTTCCATAATTATGAGCGCAGTATTAATAAAAAATTTTTCTTGGCAATTTTCCATGACGACCTGTCACTCAAATTTAAAAATAGCATATATATATAGTAATGGACTTTTGAATATTTTATATCTTCTATAAAAATATTATCGATCATGTCATCTGAACTTGAATTATTACGACAGCACATTACTGAGCTTGAAGCTGAAAACACACAGCTGAGGCAGATTATTGAAGAGAATGCAAAGCGTGATGCTGAGAATGCAGAACACAAGATTAGAATTGAGGAATTGGAGAAAAATAGTGTAGATATTTCAGCTGAGAATGCTGAGCTTAAAACCGAACTAGCCAAACTAAGTCATGATTTCGATTCCTCCAATCTTACGAGACCTCAACAATCATAGCACGTTACTAACGTGCAGAACTCATGCTCTGTTGGAGAAGAAGAAATATCAAAGGTAACAACTGTATCATAGCTGGATACTGAGTCCGAGAGGCACTTCACTTCTGATCCTATAATAGATCAGCCTATAAATGAAGCAACTAATGATAATATACAGTGGTAATCAAATGTTTTGCATCACCTAAAAAAAAAATTAAAAAGTAATATTTCGCAAACTTACATATTATAATATATAATAATGTATGAAAATTAGGTTTATTTAAAAGTATAAGACCATGAGCATGGCAGACATTTGTATGATTGGTCAATTTTTATGTCGATCATTTCCTAATTATCAATGAAGTGATTAAGGCTGTTCCCAAGTACCTCCATCTCAATCACTAGCCAATCACATTGACAGTGCACAAGCTTTATAATCAATTGAAATAAAAATGGCAATCAATGCTTGAGCAATCTCTTTTTAACTTTTTTCTAATTTATCATGTCTCAAAAATCTCGAA